GAATATGTCCTTTTACCCACTCATCTTCTCCTACTAGATGTTGTTGTTGTTTTTTCTCTCCTGGATTTTTAATTTTCTTTCTCAACCTCATTTTGTAACAAATGTTTCCAAATTCATTCTCCAGATTTTCTCTTGTCATCTATATACTCGACAGTTTTTAATGTGTCAGGCACCAGGTGACCATATCCCTGCCCATAAGGGAATACCTAGAAGTCTTCCCATCGGGCTGGGAAGATGTTGTATCTGTCAGGATCCTGCAGGAAACAGATGGCATACTCCGAGGGGTGAGTGAAGAGATTTAGCAAAACATTATAAAAGTTTGGAGCCGAGTTCAGGGAAATCAACAAGGAATGACAAAGAATGGTGAATTTCTCTAGGGCTGGCAACAGAGGAGGAAGGAAGGGAGGGCTGATGGGACCACAGGAGGGAGCAGGTGGCATAACAGGGGCTTAGCTGTGACCCTGGGTTGACCCTGGGGGAGGGCCATCTGATTGAGCTGGAAGAATGCAGCCTCTGCTATACCAGTGCCCAATCTGGAGGGAGCTGGGGGAATAAACACCCAGACCTCTCTCTCTTTCTACCCATCAATCTCCTTATGGTGTTACCTGTTGGTTGAACCCTGCCCAAAGCAAGGGAACCTTGATGTTGGCTATACAGGTCTCTCTCTGCTGGGGCATGCAACGGGGGGGGGGGAGAGGTGGAAGGGGTAAGGAGAGAAACATGAAGAATATTCACTGTAGGTGCTATGGGATGACTGACCTCAATGTACTGTTCTTCATTTTATCCTCAGCTTCTTGTCCAATAACTCCCCTCGGCTCTGCAGCCTTCAGCTAAAACAACTCAGGAGGCAGTGCCTGATGTGGAAGAGGGAATCATGAGTCCTCCCAGGCCTGCTGCCAGGCAGCTACCTCATTCTCTTCCCTCTTTCCCTCTTTGCTTCTTCTTCTTCCTTTTGTCAAATATGACTTTCACGCCTACAAGTTCATTTGGTCTGTAGCGGCTGCCACAGTTTCTGGCCTAAGAGCAAAGGGCGCTTTCAGAAAAGAAGGTTCCTTGGTCCAGGAGGCATCCAAACCTGCTCTGGGTGGCAAGTTTTCCAATGAAGTGAGCCCCGCTGGTGAATTTGAATTCTTATGTATCTTTGCCAAAGGTTTCTTGGACCCGCTAAGTAAACACATTAAAATGCCAGTAAAAATTTTTGCTGCTTTGTTGAACCTTTCTGGCGGATTAAATTGGGGGGAAAATGGGAACACGTAGACCACAAAACACATAATTCGTAGTTGTCACATCGCACTGTGAGGAGTGATCTTTTTGAGGCTGCTAAGTGGGTGCCTTTCATACTGGAGGAAATAATGACACAGGAAGGCGAAAAGCTTCTCACTGGGAACCATCATTCCCTGTGTGTCCTTGGTGGGAAGCACGCTTTCCTAGTCCTCATTCCTATGCCATTTATAACAAATCCCCTCTCCGGCCTCCTGGCCTGCATTGGAAAGGCTGCTGCTGGGAGCGTACTGGGCAATCTCAGTTGAGATGCATTTTAGCTCTGAGGGGACATTTAATGACTTGGATTGGAAGTTGTCTCTTTAGACTGGACAAAAGAAATGCTATTATAATATCAAGGGAAGAAAAGGATGTGCCAAAAACTACAGAATGAAATAAGAAGAATCAGATGTTTTCCACTGGAACTGCTGAGTTAAGTTGAAGGCCAATCTGCCCTGTTCCAATAGTTTCCTTCCTTGGCTCCTGGGCTCCTTGCTGGCAAGAAAACCACCAAAGGCTGCCCTGTGGCTTGTGAGCAAAGGCAGCAGGTACTGGGGAAGGAAAAGAGAAACCCAAGGTGAATGAATAGAAATACATAAAACAAGGAGAAAAACCCACTGTCAGTGGCCTGTTATATCTCCCCCGCCACCCAGTCCCCAGTCCCCGTTCGCCATTGGGCGATCTGAGCCTGCCAGCCAGGAATAGGGGCCGAGAGGTGGTCAGTGCACCTCATAGTGACTGGTTGAGCAGTCGTTCTGGTTGTTCTGCTGTTAGAGTCAATTTGCATATTATCCTTTTATTATATAGGATAGTTTACAGATTGTTTGAATCACATATATGTCAGATAATCTTACCTAATAAAAGACAAACATGTAAATGACCATACCTCTGCTATGCCCACAGCCAATCAGAGTGAGTATGCAAATTAGAAGGCCAAAGATGGCAGATGCCCAGCTACTCCAGGCGCAGAGTGGCCTGGTAGGCCAGCACGCCTGCTATGAGAGGGAGGGCTGAGGGTAAAAGAATCGATAGAAGAAGAGTGCTGCAGTGAAGACAAGACTACAGACTTCCGCATCTGCAGCGAAGACAAAATGGCCTGAGTCTGCAGCAAAGACAGAAAAGGTAGACTCTGGCCGAAGCAAAGGCCTGTGTCCCAGATGCCAGAGGAAAACCAGTGCTGGAAGCCAAAGGAAGAAAGGCCTATTGCACAAATCTCTTCATGCAGTGGTCCTCTAGTAATTATATAATTTTCCTGAACTTACAATCATTTATTTACCATTCATCATATGTTTTAATGCTGGGTTCTTCTTTCCTACAGAATTTCCTAGATATAGTGTGTGTGTGTGTGTGTGTGTGTGTGTGTGTGTGTGTGTGTGTATTTTGAAGGTTGGAAAGAACATCTCATTCTATCTCCATTACTTTTGGACAGTCAAATAATTCATCCTTCTGAACCTCCATTTCTTCATTTCTAAATTCATCATGGTCATATCTATCCTGCATGTCTAATAGAAAAATGGATATAAATGCATGGAAAACAATAAAGCCTAAACAATCCCCATCACTGGGTGGAGAGAGAGGGGTCAAATGGATTTATGAAGATAAGCAGGAAGCTTAACCATTTGATCCATATTGAGACGTTTCTGTACTGTAATTCTTTAAGTCTCAGTTCCTTGAAGTCTTGAGCTTCCAATGAGAGTTTGATGACAGAACATGCCTATAGAGCCGAGAAGAAATAAGCTTTGAGGTATGTGATTCCTACCCTAGATTTGGTCCAAGTGTACATGAGGAGCATGGTCAGAGAACACTTCCTGAGTGCTGTCTGTCCTTCTCTTTCTTGCTGCTCAGCATTCCCCCAACCCTTTATCATGGCTACTGCTCCCACCCCCACATGCTGATGGCACCAAGTCCAAATTTCTGTCATCTGAACTTCCATTCTCCTGTGTTCCTCTGAGCATCTGATCCTATGTGAATGTTCCATAGTTGCCCCATATTCAAAACACAGAGAATGCAACTCCTCAAACTTACTTCTAAAAGTTTTTAAGGTTCATCCATGTTGTAGCATATATCACTCTTTTATTCTTTTGTATTGCCAAATAATATCACATTGTATAGAGTTTTTGTGTAGGCATATATTTTCATTTCTTTTAGACATATACCTAGTAATGGACTTGCTGGATCATATGGTAAGTATATTTAGCATTTTGAAGAACTGCCAAACTATTTTTCAAAGTATCTGCACCATTCTACATCCCCCTAGTAATGTCGTTTTAAAAACCCAACTCAGATATTTATATTCAACATGGGAAGAGTTCTTGTAGGTTTTTGAGTATGGTGAAGGTGATGTTATTGAAATTGCACAATAATGTGGAACAAAAAATTAAAGGCCAGGAAGCTGGTAGAAGGTGCCACAGTAATCAAATCCTCAGTTCCTGATGTCTGTATTGGGATGGTGGCAGGCAGGAAAAATATCAGGGTTCCCAAAGAACATAGTGGGCAGCGGAGATGATTCTCAGGCAGAAAAATAATTTTTTCACCTAAGTTCAACTCTGAGATATTCGCTCAACCTTTGCTTTCTAATCTTGGTATTTCAGTAAATAAATACTTGTTTGTAGAGAAGCAGGAAAGGGATGAATACAAGTCTTGCCATTATGTGATAGAGGACCATGTGACTGGCGCAGGTCTGTGAGTCTGTGATTTACATGGAATTCCTTAGAGGTTGCATCCTCCTAGGCTAAGTGGGCTGCCCACTGTGAAGGCTGAGGTAACCATCGACAACCCTAGTCCATGTTTTTCCTACCAGTGGCAGCAGTGAGACTTTTGTGGATATCGTTCTGTGTGTGTGTGCGTGTGCGTGTGCATGTGTATTGTGTGCGTGTGTGTGTGTGTGTGTGTGTGTGTGTGTGTGTATACTGAGTAGCTTGGGCATTTGAAATAGCCAAAGGGAATGAGAGTTCTTAGCAGCAAGTTTTCTAGCTGAGTAGTAAAACCTCCCATAGCTCTAGGACTTAAAAATTGCCCATGAAGCTGTTCATCGTGTAATGGGACAATAGTTGTAAAGCTGCCACCATCCGGGAACTTGCAGTTGCTCAGTGAGGCTTGTTACTGGGGCCTCCTACTCTACTTGGCACAGTTATCACCCTTATGGGTTTTTTTCCGCTGTAATTTATTCTCAAGCATTTTGTATTTCCTTTGCCATTTAGATGAAATTTAAATAAAACCTTTAGGTAAAGAACCATGTCAGGCTGTTACACACATTAAACTCACAATAAAAGCAATCTGTATATCGCTCTTTGTTCAAATGAAGTAAAAACACCTGCATTTTTGCAGTTTTCTGTTACCAGCTCTTCTTATCTAGTGTTATATGGGGCGTCTATGGGCCTTCCTAGCCTTGTTGTAATAGTCCCTTGTAGAGAGGAAAATAGGCATGAATAATAGCCCCGATTCTGTCCCATTTCCTGTGTCCCCCTTGGTAACTACTCTAGGCACTCTCTTTTATAGACTCCAGCTCTCAAAAAGGGAGAGGGTAACAAGACCTAAACCCACAATTCACCTTTGCCTTGCCCATCCTCTCAGTTCTTATATAGATGTGCTCAGAACATATTCCCAAGACTGATCAAATAGAACATAACTCTTTCCATGACAGGTAATGTTAGAATTTCCATTGAAGCTGCACCTGAGCTTGAGTGACATATCATGATTCAGTGGTTTTCAAATAATTCTTTTTTCCCTCCTTTTTCTAGGCTTATCCAAATCTCTTGGGCTCATCGAAGGTTATGGAGGGCGGGGCAAAGGAGGCCTTCCTGCTACCCTTTCCCCAGCTGAAGAGGAAAAAGCCAAGGGACCGCATGAGAAGTATGGCTACAATTCCTACCTCAGTGAAAAAATCTCGTTGGATCGTTCCATTCCAGATTATCGTCCCACCAAGTAAGTTCTGGTTCAGTCATTCAGAGGAGATCCCTTGATCCTATGGGTGGACAAAGACCCCAGCCTGTGGCATTTTCTGATGTCATTTGTAACTAGGAAGGAGCTTTTATCTACTCTCCTCCTCAACCAATAAACTGAGTACTGTTGATTGTGAAATATTAGCTAAATAAAACATTTGGTTTGTATAAAAGCAACCCAGAAACATTTAGAAATGTCTGCAATACAAAAAGTTTTCAATAAAAATCAGAAATCACCATGATCTCATTACATAGAGACAGCAACTGGTAAACTCTGTCTTCAAGTCTATTTTCTCTACAGATGATAAGAATATGATATATTGTTTTACCTGTGGTTTTTTTTTTTCATTTAACATTATTTCATGAGCATTTTCTGATGTTACTAGCTATGATCATTATTTCCATTGCTTGGGACTTTGATTTTTCATTATTATAAAAAACACTTTGATGACTAGCTTCCCATTCAAGTCTTTATGTGTATTGTTTAGATATTTATTGTCTCAATTCACATTTCTAAAAGTATATTCCTTAGATCACATTGTAGGAATATTTTTTGCAGGCTCTAGACACATATTGTGATGTTCCCCTCCAAAAAGTTTATAGCAACCTCTACTCCTTTTAGAATTTTAATTGACCTTTCCAAAATAGGGTGCTGCCATTTAAAAAATGCCTTGCCAAGCTGATAGATGAGAAAGTATGATACACCCACAACTGTTTCTATTCTTTTGTCTGAGATTCTTACCATTTAAACAGTTTGTTTGGCATCTTGATTGTCTTTATGAAAGTTCTTTTTTTCTATGCCCTCAGATTTAAGAATTATTTGTTTTCTCCTTGTGAAATAGAGAAAAGAAATTGCTCATAGAATCAAGATGCTGGAGGGAAAACCTATTTTCTAAGCGGGAGTCCGCCTTGGCCTCTCAAAAAGATTTTTCGTTTCCAGTTAGGTTTGTAGTGTCTCTCTTTTTCTATTCAGAGTGTGGCCTTGTTTAGAGCAGATTATTTCTTTTTTCAATTGGGTTTTGTACAAATCAGTTAAGTATCCTGTTTGCTGAGAAAAATAGATTTGAGATAAAGAAAATTATCTTAAGTGGATTTAAAATTGCAGGATTCACCATGGAACCTGTTAACTCTCTCTCCCTGCCTAATAAGCATATATTCATTTGAATAACTAGGAAAAATATACATCACCTCTGTTGGAAGCTGTTTTGTATTCCTGGACTTTGGCTCTTAAAAACATCTGGCTGTTTTCATTTTCTGGTACTCTCTGATTAGCCTTCCTTATTTGGACTTTGGCAAATAAACAGAGTCCTGTTCTTTTCACTCCTGTAAGAATAAAAATGTCTCCAACGTGAAGCTACTGGAAATAGGTCAGTTGGACAAATATTAGTGAGCACCTATTATGTGCCAGATGTTTTTCTCCACACTAGATGGAGGCAGGACATTGGATATGACACAGTCCTTGCATACTTACTATTTGTCTAGGGAGGGAGACAGATGTGCAGGCAGATTAATTCAGCACAATATGGTCTATATGGTGTGTATCAGGCCAGTGATATACATAGCATGCACAGGGAGGATATGGGAGAGATTCCTGCTAAAGATGATGCCTGAGCTTAATTTTGAAGGACTAATAAAGATTGGAAAATTGGAGAATGGAGAGGGATGAGGGAAGACCAGGCAGGGGAACTGCAAGATCAGAGTTTGGGTGCAAATAAAAATATAGTGTGCTCAGGGGAGAATGTATGGGTCCATAGTGCTCTGTAGTGTAGCATGGTGGCTTGAGCATACCACTTGTTTCTTATTACTCCTGAAATTTCACTAATAATAAAGGACTAGAGAAAATCGCAACCCCTAAGGGACACCTAATTTTCATTCTTCTTATGGCCAAATAATATTCTTGTGTGTGTGTAGGTGTGTGTGTGTGATATTATTTTTCTATTCACCTATCAATGGACACTTAGGTTTTCATCTTGGCTATTATAAATGATGCTGCAATGGGCATGAGGGTACATATATCTTTTTGAATTAGTGTTTGGGTTTCTTTCAGTAAATACCCAGAAGTGGAATTTCTGGGTCATATGGTGGTTGTATTTTGCTTTTTGAAGCACATTTATACTGTTTTCCATAGTGCCTGCACCACTTTACATCCCCACCAACAGTGCACAAGGGTTACTTTTTCTCCACATCCTTTTTATTCCTTGTCTTTTTTAAAATAGCCATTCTAACAGGTGTGAAGTGATATCTCATTATGGTTTTGATTTGCATTTCCCTGATGATTAGTTATAATTGAGCATCTTTTCAGATTCCTCTTGGCCATCTGTACATCTTCTTTGGAAAAATTCAGATTCTCTGTTCATTTTTAAATCAGATATTTTGTGTTTGCTATTGAATTGTAGGACTTTTTAAAATATATTTTGGAAATTAACATCTTATCAGATATATGGTTTGCTAATAGTTTCCCCCCCATTCATTAGATTGCCTTTTTATTTTGTTGATGGTTTTCTTTGCTGTGTAAAAGCCTTTTAGTTTAATGTAGGCCAACTTGTTTATTTTTTCTTTAGTTGCATTTGCAGGATATTTTTAACCATTCTTTCTAAAAGTTTGGGGCTGAATTAGTGATAGTCACAGAAAAAAAATTGTGAAAAAGCAAAGCAATTATTACCTACACAACAAAACAAAATTTTCTCAAGAAAAGAATTGCAATTCTATACACTCTGTGGCTCAGCTGTAAACAATATAGTCATACAAATGTAAATAATGGATAATTATTTAACTACTAATTATGATATAACTATATTGAAAGAGGAAGAAGACCGAATGGGTGTGTGAGTGGGTGGTATAAGAAAACTAAATCTTAATTTTCAGAAACAAAATCAATTGAAAATATCTAAAATTTGAACATCAAGAAATAGTAGCACAATCATTATTATTAAGAAATGGAGTCCTAGCCTAGCCATCATCTATTGGCTGAGTAGAGCATCTGCCTGCGGAATGAAGGGTCCAGGTTCGATTCCAGCCAAGGGCACATGCCTGGGTTATGGGCTTGATTCCCAATGTGGGTGGTGCAGGAGGCAGCCAATCAATGATTCCTGCTCATCATTGATTGTTCTGTTTCTCTCTCCCTCTCCCTTCCTCTCTGAAATCAATAAAAATACATTGTAAAAAAAGAAAAGACGTGTATGGAGATTAGAAAAGTGTGATGAGGCTATGCATGTTTTGTTTTAATAAAACAGAAGTTTAAGCTATACATGTAAAACTGTACCAAAAAATTAAGCACAAGATAGGAAGGGTGAAAGTAGGGTAGAAGAAAGCGTTGGAGATCTAGATTGGATGACATTTGCCTTTTTAGATTATGTGGCCAGCTCTGAGGAGGAGGAATTTGAAGGGGAAATTAGAGATAAATTTGAGGGCTTGCCCACAGGCCAGGCATGGTGACCATGGGCACCATTGTAATTGTAGGCTTCAGAGCAGACATTACCCAATTAATCTTTTTAATTGCAAGTTAATCCTTGCTGTCCACGAGTGGGACAGGCCTTGCCTGTAGAAGCTGCTTTTTTGATATCTGAGGGCTGGGAATGGGGAGGGAGGCAGCTGTCCAGACCAGAGCGGCTGCTTTCTTCTTCCTTGGCAGGTCCAGGCCCAGGAGAAATTACACCCCCATGGGCAAGATCCTTCCTGAGAAGCCCTCCCTCCCCAAAAGCTCTGCCAATGTTTAGGGTATTTAAATTCTATTGCAAATTTTATGCAAAATCTCATGTTGATTTAAGTCTTATTGTTTTATCATTAGACTACTCCTGAGAAACTTGTTTTACTCTTATTAATATGAGTGAATTTTTAGGCAGTAGTAGGATTAACCATTTGCTTGTTGTAGCCCAGGCAAATGGTTTCCAATATGCTGTTTTTCCTTTTACTTTAATTTTGTGATTTTTTTTTCCCCTTCTACTGGACAGATACTTCAAATTGTTTGAATCTCAAACTGTTGATCTTTCCATTTTCCTTTCTTTACTGCTTCAAAGCTGAGGAAGATGCCATCCCTCACAAAACTTATAAATATTATATTCTGCTCTGTGTGGCTGTTCTCTGTTTCTCATATTTCACTCCTTCATCCATCTAGAGCTTATTTTGAAAGTACAGGGTAGGTATCTTTTGTTTAAAATGTTTACCCACGCTGTTTCAAAACCATTTTTGTAAATACCCTTTTCTCTTACTTGGAGGTGCTAAAGATAATACTTTTTTTGTTATATTTCAGTGGGCTTATTTTTTAGGCTCTATGCTATTCCTTTGGTATACATTTCTTTTCAAAAAAATTTTTTTTATTGTTTAAAGTATTACAAATAGTAGAACATATGTCTCCTTTTTTCCCTATTGATCTCCCTGTAGCCTCCCCCACCCACTCAGGACATGCCCTCACCCATCTAGTGTCTATGTCCATTGGTTATACTTACATGCATGCATATAAATCATTTGGTTGATCTCTTACTTCTCCCCCTTCCCACAAACCTCCCCTGCCTTCCTATTGAAGGGTAACAGCCTGTTCCATTCTTCTTTGTCTCTGTATCTATTTTTGTTCATCAGTTTATAATGGTCATTATATTCCACAAGTGAGTGAGATCATGCGATGTTTACCTTTCTCTGACTAGCTTATTTTGCTTAGCACAATGCTTTCCAATACCATCCATGCTGTTGCAAGTGGTAAGAATTCCTTCTTTTTTACAGCAGGATAGTACTCCATTGTGTAGATGTACCATAGTTTTCTAATCCAAATAAAGTGCCCATCAGCAGATGAATGGATTAGAAAACTGTGGTATATATTTCTTTTCTTTAATTCTTAAAAAATATTAAAAATTAGAAGCCTGGTGCATGGAATTCATGCCCTCAGGACAGGAGGCAGGGTGTCCCTCAACCCATATTGTTGGCCAGCTGGAGAAGGGACCACAGGAGCTCTTCAGGGCAGGTCCAACCCGTCTCGCTCAGTCCCGATCA